TTATTTTCCAGTATCCCAATATCACACGCCCAAGCTGGCCTACAAGCTTCACGATCGGATTTGGCTTCGGTGGAGGCTTCTTCTGGACACTGACTCTGTTTGCAGGCGGCCTAGACGCGCTGTCTAGTGCTTCACCTTCCGCCGCGTCCTCTTCCTCTTCCAAATTTTCTGATTGTACACGCAATATCTGAACCAGAACATGCAGTGCAAAGTATACGCAAATACATCCAAGGGCAAAGACCAATAATCCTGCAAAAACATACGTGACCTCCGCAGAAGGGTTGAAAATCAATAGTACTGCCACCATGCTGAAGAGAACGAAGCGAAAACTCAATAAGCACATCTCCATGAAATCCAAAATCTCTGCTTGATCGTTCGTAAACGGCCTGCACCAAGCAGCAATGGCCAACTGTGTTCCCGAGACGAATGGGAACAGCAGTAGCTTGGCCTTCTCGTCGTCGGCAAGAGACGTATATGTGATCAAATTCATGATGGCAATATCAAACCTCTTAATTATGATGTCCCAATACCAGAAGCCAGGCTCATAGCCCTCAATGAAGAAGCCATATCTCCTGAAATTCTCAGGGTTTTGCCTGTCCTTCAACTTGTAGATGCGTAGGAACAGGAGGACCGGGACGCCAATACACCAAACAGACAGCCCAACTATTGCGATCACAGCCAGCTCGAAATGATCAAAGCTCCAGCACACGACGTCTGGATGTGGAATCAAGCGCTGCTGCACAACAGTCAAACCTCGCGAGTTGTCCTCGGAAGATGGAGCGCACCACACCATTTTTAGAAATTGCGAGAGCAGTTCTGGCCACCTTAGCATCAGGGCGAACAAAAAATCATGTGCTACACTCAAGCCGACCTCTCAAAAGCACCTGAGGGTGAAATCCTTCCAAAAAAAACGGGCCCAAGAATTGCGCAGGTCTGCGGAGGCCGGCGAAAGGACAATTAACATAACATCAAGGCATGTCTAAGGCCAAGTCATCCCTTTCTGTCTGAGAAGTTTTCACAAAGTGGCGAGGACTACGGCCGGTTCCCAAATACACGCTACACATCGAAACCTGCAAAAATTATTGTAGTTTCCCAGAATAAGGGGACCCCAATATACCCAAAAATATTATAATCCTTTTTACAGAAACCCCGAAAAAGGTACCCATAATTTTAGGAAACCCCCTTGTTGCGGTAAAGAGACATGGCCAAAAGCATTACCCATATCCTGGGTTGCTGTTACGGAACATAAAATAAGTTACTAATATATATAGTACTTGATATGGTTTCTCCAATGGAATAACTTAAATTAAGTTCCTTAACCCTAAGGCCCTAAACCCTAAACCCTATACACCCCTATCTACCCCTGTATACCCTTATATGATTACCCCCTATATACCCTTATTATAGCAACGTAATTCAGTTCCTTAACAGCTACCCAGTATCACTGGCGTGCATTGTGAAAACAGCTGGCGAGGTCGTGGCCACGGCGTGAACAAGCCGAAGTCCAAGATGTCCTTGGTAAATAGTGTAATGATAGTAACAATGGTAATAACAGTAGCAATAGCAATAATAGAAGTACTAATAAAACTAGTAACAATCGTAATATTAATACTAGGCTTCACTGAGAAGATACTCTATTAGTTGTTGGAAGACACGGTGAACTACCTGCAAAATGCCAAGCACCAACATCTCTGCGCAGTTTGCAAAATCATTTGATGAGTCTCTGGATCAATCCCACCTGCTTCCATCGGCAGTGCCGCTGGAATTGTGGCGATTGCTTCGTTTTGCTTCTGCCTGCCCCAGCAACCCATGACATACCAGGCAAACTGAAATTTGCGACATACTTGCTGCGGTGAACGGTGTGTCCTAGCATGAACACCCTGCTACAAAACCTGACACGCTATACTGTGGAATCGGGTGTAGATTCTTCATGTGAACCATTGTCTAAACTCCTAAAATCCCCCTTAATAAC